GTTTTCTGCAATAATTTCCGTAGCTACGAAGACACGGTTGTTAGTTCCGAAATATTTCGTAATGTTAAATATGTTCCATTAAGCGAACATTCGACGAAACCGAAACAAACGTGTATTTCTTACAATGAAAGCAACCCACCTCGGCGTTTTATTAACCGACCTGGGGAAAAGTTGTAGGTTCGCGTCATTGAACGCAAATCCAATTTGCGTCAGAGCGTTTTCCAGCAGGGTTCGTCGACGCGTTTGCTTCCAATATCGTCTTGTTTCTTGCGTCGTTGGAGCAGACGAATATCGAGCAACAAGAGTAATGTTGCTTGGAATGGGTGGATGGAAAAGTTGGATCGAAAACGTTTAATGAGAAAAGCAGGGAAGAAAATAAAGTTCGATGTTCATTTATTTAATATCGTTCAATCGTTTGGTCATTCAGTCGTTCGATGTTTCAATCGACCAACTGTTGAATAGTTAAATGGTTCAATCATTGGGTTATCGAATAGTTGTATTGTTTAATTATTCTGTTATACAGCTGTTCAATGTTTCAATCGACCAACTGTTTACTTCTTTAATAATTGAACGATTTGATTGTCGATTAGTTCAATCGACCAATTATTTCGTCATTCACTTGTTCGATGCTTCAAGTAATTAACTATCGAATCGATTAGTAATTTAATCATTGGATTGATGAATAGATCAATTGTTAAATTATTCTGGCATTCAGTTGTACAAAGTTTCAATCGATCATCTGTCAAATCGTTGAATAGTTCAATAGTTCAATCACTACGTCAATCAGTTTGACGTCAGAATGTCTCAATTGACCATCTGTTGTATAGTTGAATAGTTCAATCGTTAAATCGTCGAATTATTCAGTAATAAAAAAATAGTGGAAAATGTGATCAAGAAATAAACAAAACGAAAATAATCGAAACGATTAAATAACGAGCACGTGCCTTAAGCTGTTAATGAAATCAATAAATGTTCTGGAAACAATTTTCATCGTAGATCAAAGTCTCCCTACAGAATCAACACTTAACTTTCATGGCAGAGGAGTTACTAATAATTGCCACAATTAATAACAGACGTTTCCTACGCCCTTCTAACGATAAGTTATCCCATGTGAGTAGGGGTGTTCCAGGCAGGGAGGAAAATAGGTCAGGGTGTTCCCCTGTTCGATAAACTCAAAGTTATTGCCCCAACGAATCGCCAGGAGAAAAGGATCAACCAATAAGTCCCTCATTTCTTACCATATATATTCCTCTTTATTTATTGTACCTTGATATCTCGAATCTTAAACTTAATTGCGTGATTAGTCGTGAAAATTTCACTTACTCCAGATTTGACTAGATGTATGTTTTTAAAAAAGATAAATTAAAATGATTCAATTAAAATAGTGTTTCGATGAAACCGTCTATTTTGAATAATTCTAATAGAAATCTAGCCATGGATCATTTTCATATCATAAACAGTAAGGGAGATATTGATATAGGTGACGTCCTTTACTTAAGACACCTTATATTATATAAGTAAGTCTCTGATAGACACGAGTCTGAACCTGATGAGCATCACAACTTACCTGTGTTAGCAAAAATCAGTAGCTCACGAGTTGCGCTTATTGCTGTTCTTCTAACAGATTACAATTGTTCTTGACAATTTTATTAGGTGCATCTGGTTGAGACTTAGGTTACGTAGATACATATATAGTTATACTTATGTAGATTCATATTAGAGATGGGTTCATGGATGTTAAGTTGGTGTTTTAATGAAACGAAATGACAAGTATTTATAACTAGAGTTAAAAATAAACTGCAAATGTTTATGCGTTTATGGCAAATAAAAATGTGGAAAATTTTACGAGGACTTGGATAAATGCAAAATTGTATATAAAATACAATAAAAATCCGCAGTCTGGTCATAAATAATTGAAATAAAGGCAGAGGATTAATTTCCAACCGTGATATTTCGTAAATTACCACGTATGAATTACGACTACAACTGTTGTAGTTCATAGAAGGGCGACTGGTTAACAAGAAATGGTTGATAACGCGAGCGAAGGTAGCTCTGGGGTGTCTTCGAATTTATCGCGGCAAGAGGGCTGGTTTCGATGCAAAAGAACTCAATTACAGCCGGTTCCCCGAGGATATTCGAGATTCTTCGAGGCTCTGAGACAGAAGTCGAGGGGAGGGTGGGACATTACAAAGAGAAGGTGAAGAAGACCGACGAGGGTGGAACAAAGTGGAGGGTCGAGGCTGAAAGTAGAGACAGAAGAAAATGGAGAAAAAGAGGAGGTGAGAAACGCGAGAGCCTGGGAGATCGAGAAGCTGCTTCGGTGGCGCGAACGATGGAGAGAAAAGGGTTCAGAGGAAAAAAAAGGAAGGGTGGGTCGCCAGGTTAGACGAGTCATCCCTCGGCTCGCTTGTCTTTATCGATTCGACGCTGGCAACTTGTTGGCTGCCCTGTAGTCTCGTCGATTTCCACGGAAACTGTGTCTAGAGATGTCGGAAGTTCGAGCAGCCCTACCTTTCGATCAGCCCTTTATTTTTCCACGTGGCAGCTCGAGAGGGGTGTTTTAAGAAGGGTATCAGGCATTCAGCGAACAAACATAACTTCTTTATCTGAGCTCCAAGTTGGGAAGTATCGAAACGAGGGTGGAAAAGGTCTAACAAAAGCCTTACCGACATAACTAAGTAAGTACTTCTTGTAAAGACATTACAGCAATTATATCACATAAAATGGAACCTCTGTTGTGTAAAGTAATTGGTAAACAAAAGCGTTGGAGTAAGAGAAATTTCGCACATTAGAACAAGTAGTTTCCACTCAATATTAGCTTGGTGTTAAAATAATTTTTGCTTTTATATTTTTTTCCCAGCATACTATTTAATATTGCAATAAATTTCTGTATATACATGTATAGTTACACTTTCGTATAGAAATTTATTTCAATATTTTGTACCAAAAGTATCAGTTACGTTCCATGATAAAGACGTATGAGTACATATTCTATTTTTTTGGGAAATTAGGTTGCACGAGATTTATGTGAATCAAGTGTTATGTATTACCACGTCGAACAAAGAAAAACAAAAAAAACATCTACGCTGATCAGTAGAGCCACCTGGCGATGCAAGAATGCATCTATAGTATGTTTGTAATCCGACAAGTTTTATGGTATTACATTATTTCCGAGCTTCTATAGAACCTAACCATTTTTTCAAAAGCTGTAAATACTTCGAAACAAGGTGTTACACCTTCGTCACTGTTTTCGTCTTTGCTATTTGCTCGTTAGTAAATCTGTGACGCTAAACCAGGGACGACAAAGGCAAACTTGCGGAGAGTGGATCGAAGGAGACAGGAAGCAGGGTGCATCGATTATTCCTTGAAAGATGACAGAGTTTAAGGGATGGTGGTCGATCGCACGAGGGGATAAAGGAAGGCTTACGAAAGAGAAGTGGCCGTGGAAGACCACGAACAGGGACATGGCATTACGGGCGTTCCCGTAAAGCCATTTCGAGCGAGGCGAACTCAAACACTTGTGGCTTGCCAGTAGTCACAACTCGCCTTAATGAGACACCTAGAGACGTAAAGACTCTGTCCACTAACTTCCACCCCTAACAGCTCGCGAAATCTCTGGCAGGAAGTTTCGAATCCGCACACTCCCATCGAACGCAAACTATAGGAGTAACTATAGGAGTAACTGGTGAATGAAAAAGCCATTTCAAAGTTACTGGTAGCCGTGGGTAGTGATGGAAATGAAATTTGGTTTGATAATATCGGGACCAGATTCTATATATATGGTGGTAGCATTTAAATAGGAACAAACCCTGATATTTACATTGTTTAGGGATTTATGAAATATATCTATAGAACAAAGTTACATTGTTTTGGTTGTAACAACCTAATACATCTAGTAATAGTATGTAGAAGTTAATTTCATTATTATTATTGTTACAAAGTCATAGTTTCGCGTACACAGTCAATATATAATAGATGATTGAATTTGTCTTTTTATCAATTACAATATTACAACAATGAAATCACCTCATCCTATTTAAACAAACGTCGATGACCTCGAAATCTCTTTAAAAACTGACCCCGAGAAAAGAATGGTTTCACCGTAGTATTAGCACCCTACAATTTTTCCCAACGCTCGTGTAAATTCTGGAAACAGCGCTGGAAGACTGCGGAGATCTTCCGTTACATATTTCTTGATGCTCCCAACGTCATTAAAATCTCTGTCCACTCGGTTGAATTTTAACTTTGAGTGTAGGAGAAAGTTGTAGAAAGTAAAGTTCGGTGAATGGAGAGCAGGATGTAATATAGAAAGTTGTTCCTTAGCTAAAAACTAACGAATTTTGAGGGTGCGCACTGGAGTATTATCGTGACGCTGAAACTAGGCCGCATTAGCGAAGAGTTCAAGTCTTTCTCTCCTCATTCTTTCTCTGAGATGGATTAAAACATTCCGATAGCATTATCGCCCAAAAGTTCCTATCTACAACCTCTGGCTTCTTTGAGAAAATCCATGGAAAGGAATTATTCAATGGAGAGCGACAGGGTATTCGAATTAATCTAAGCATGCTTATAATTTTCATCTGAAATTATGTTTAAGTAATGTCAAAGTAAGAATAATATTATTAGAAATTGAAATTCGATTCCAATCAACTATTATAACTCTATTCTAATTCTAATCAACAAGGACATATTTGTTGAGATTTCAAGGGCAAAGTTTTTAAAATGGAATTATTATTCTATATTTTTATTTTTATCAACATGACACGATAGCTGAGATCATGAAGTATCCAACGACTTGGAACATTGAGACCTTCACGTGACCTTGAATTCAGAAAATTCATAAAAGTTGTTCTAAACAAAGAAAATACTAATATCAATGGCAATGATAAATATTGATAGTATCGAGTATATCATTCGATTAGTCTAAATACAATTTACATAATACGATTTCTCCCTAATTATACGCATCGCCTATTTAATATGCTTGCTTTGCTATGTTCCAGGAACCTATTTTATTTTGTACGACTTCATCGATTTCTTCGAGAAGGATCAAGCGAGCTTTCTGGAACGCGACAAGTTTCTAAACATCATCGACACCATCTTCAAGAACACCTCTCAGATAGAACGAGAAGCCATCACCTTCCAGGTGAGTTTCCTTCCATCTCAACCTTTAACACGACGTAAATTCCTATTGTATTCTATTTAAAGAATTGGAGGAAACAGAATTCGATTGTATCTCTGATTAGAAATGATCGAAGACAACAGTGGAAAAATGATATGAGTGATTGGAGCATGGTGAATATAAATTTATATACAGATAACTTTATTCAAGGGTTATAATCGAACTATTAAATGGAAGGCTTTAATATTCTTTTTATTTAACGAATGTGCACGTTGAAAAATATTGTTGGACTCGAACAGCGCGTTCCAGAAGTCACAATTCAACTGCTTATATCTCGATATTCTCGCTGTAATTTCAAAGATATAATATCATGCTCAACAAATATTCATTGTCCTCGGTAGTTCTGTCGTTAAAAATTCCTTCTTGTTCGAGGAAGCGTCAGAACGTCGCCTCGTACCTGAATTTCCATGTACGTCCGCCTTAAGAGGCACAGTTTGTCACTTTGGCTTTAGAGATGAGTCCCCGGTAGTCGATATTCCGCTCACGTTGCCCCGAGACACATCTACCGCTGGATGAGTAGTATAAGACGCAACCTGAAGTAGTAATGGACCGCGCAAGTCAGACCGCTTCGTAGTTTGTACCGCTTGCGCTTCCCAGCAAGCAGTGGTAACGGAAGGCAAGAGTCAGACGCGAAACTTAAATATTCCGCTCGCGTTATTACGACGGGCGAGGGGATTTTCCTGATATTGGACTTTATTGCATTCCACGTAAAACATCTCAGGTAGAGATAAATCGACGTAGGAGGTGGGAAGGGCGTCGTTAAATTAATTAGGATATTAGTTTTCAACCTAACGGCGGAAACCACATTAGGAGGCAAAGTATTAAGTGTTTTACGTAATTTTTTTATCTCAAGAAAAATTTACCTAATTGTCTTGTAACTTTGGGAATATTTTAGGTACGGTGTAAAATGCATCGGTAATTTGTTCAATTCATTTCATAAGGAAAGTTTTAAGATATCACCTATTTCCTATATCAATTTTTCATTGACCATTACAATTTATCTAAATACTTAGTTTAGAAGTCATCAAATTTCCTCCATTATCTTTTTTCCAACAGATTCTAAGTGTATTTGAAAATGATTAAGCGTACTTCGACATTGAATTGTTTGAGAGATAATCGGGATCTAACCTTATCATTTCCATCGCTGTCCCTGACTCTCCACTCCAAGGTCTACAGCCAATAATTCCGTTTAAAAGGAAACTCGCCGCCTATCTAACCCGTATCGACCAGATTTTCCGGTCGCGTGAGAATAAACCCATTTACCCCTTCACCCTTTTCCCTGCGCAGGAGATCAACGGTGTATAGCGACAGGATGAAGAAGATTGGCAAGATTCGGAGAGTAAATATGCCGGGGCGTTTTGGGGATCGAAATAGGGCCGAGGCAATTTCGTGTGGAACTTCGGATAAAAGTTAGCCCCCGCGCCCCCTTTCGCCGCGTTAATATTGCAGAGAGAATGGCGGCCTCTGAAGGCCGAGGAACACGTCAGAGCTGCTGAAAAACTTCTGTATAACCCTATGCACCAACATACGGCGCATATACGCGCAGTTTCCTCGATCGAACGACTTCATCAAACGACGTTTCCTCGAAATTTCGCCGTGTATCCCTTTGACCCTGTTGTTGGGACAAAATTGGAAAAACAACTCTTTGGAATTAAAGAATTTCTTTTTTCTTTATATATATATATGTATATTACTCGGCACTCCCGTATATTAATTCGCCAGTCTTTTCATTGGATGAGCCATTAGCATGATCGAAATTTCAGTTTTTTTTTAGTTGAAGTGATATTGGTCGATGCTTCCCTTACAAAAAATTCGTTGTTTTAATTAATTCGAAGATTCCACTGTGGAGAACATTTTGATTATGTAGTAGTCTAGCTTAAAACACAAATATTGTAGAGGATCCTTTGTTTGAATTATCTCTGAGACTATATCCGTATGTTTAGTACGAAAAGTCAAACGAACGTATTTATTTGAATACTTTCTATATCTTTAGTGTTCCTTTCTTCCAATAGTGTTATTTTCGACTTCCATTAGAGGGTTTTCACTGATTTCATAACGTGTTCTCTCACAGACGTGAACCACCCTTAGGGAAATTCCGAAACGCTAACACTGGTTCGTTACTGGTCCAATGGGCATACCCACTATTGCTCGTTTGTCGAGAATTATTAAATATTTCAATTAAGAGAGGGTATTCACTTAGCCAGTAGCCCGAATAATTCGTGGCATTGGATGCTTGATTTACATCGGGTTTTCCACAGCAGCAATATATAATGTGACATTCATGATGATACTTTCAAAATTGTATAATAGGAATCGTTTAAAATTCAACGTGATTGTTATCAATTTTCTGTCCTCGCGCAACGCTGTAATCCTTCAAAAGGAAAACAGTTTTCCATATTTCACTTTTTCCACTCGGATATTTGTTACTCCATGAACCGTGACGCTGTAACCGTTATTTATATATAATATTATACCAAAATGCATGCTACGTTGTAAAATAATTGTTGCTGTTTGCGACGCGACAGCAAAGTGCAAATTGTCCCTCGGGCCAAAATGGGTTTGCCGGCTACATATTTCCACGCTGAATACACGCTACGCCATTTTATTCTTTTCGAACAATAAAATACAAATTTATCACTAGACTGCGGAGTTTTATGCGTTTATAGGAAATTTGAATAATATAAAAATAATATAAAAAAAAAAAAAACATTGGAAGTAAAATTCATATTATAATGTTTGTAGAGTTCAATTTGTGTAGGTCCCTTTACAACGATTTTATTTTACATAAAGGTCCACAGTCTAATAATAAATATACAAAATTTGAGAGAAGTGCGATTCGTTGTGTTTGGCCGAAAAATCTTAAACGCATTCTTCTTTGCGCTCTTGTCTGAAAGATGCTCTTAAAAAAAAAAAGAAGCTTTCCATTGGAATCGATTCACGCGAGGCACAAAGGATGTCCCCAGGGTCGAGGGTCCAGGGTCGAGGGTTGTGGATTTAGGGTGGTGGGTCGCCCGGAAGTTTCTCCACCCCTTGAGACAAACAGTGGTCGCGACCACGCGAAAGGGAAATGTCTGGGAAGGGGAGCGTCCGTTGGTAATCAATATCGTTATGTACACGGTTAATACCGTCCCTCAAAGACACCCTCATTCTCCAGGGCGGTCGCTAATTACTTTCCTATCGGTGACGCGACGCGTAAAATATACTTTGTCAAGGATCAGCTTGTGTAAAACCTTGTGCGAGCATCCATTTAATTATCCAGCGACGCGTACATGGGGGTGGTGCGCGCCGTGAATGGTGCTTCGTGCTGAAATTGAAAAGCGCTGTCTTTAAAGGGAAAATCAGATCACTTCAGATTCTTGTTCCTCTAGAAAAACCGAAACTTCAACGTCTCCACTTTGCGGAAGAAGAGATTCTTTGGTAAAAAAGACCGTCCGAAAGTAACACAGCGAAAGGTAACGCCAAGGGGCGGAACTCGAGCAATTCTCTGCACGTTCGAATCTAGTGTTTATCTCCCCAACGTTAATTGAAATCTCTTTCTCCGGTATCGAATTTTTCTGCACGTTCAAGGACGTAAATAACTTTTATTTTTCGAAAGTTTCTTCGCGTTTTAGAGGTGTAAAAATCGTAAGCTTCTTAATCTCCCAGCCTCAAATTTTTATTCACGTTCGAAAAATCTTACTCCTTCGGTGTTGAATCTTTTATCCACAATTTTTAACCGTACAAGCAACAATTTTTTGCCTAGAAAATTTCGTGTATACATAAAGTAGTAATTGTCCATCAGGTTGAGACTTACATGTAAATATATTCATTGTAATTGTCCATCAGGTGAAGACTAATTGGATTCATCGTGTAATTGGATTCATCATAATATAAATCAAGTTTTGAACTTGAAATGTTGGTTACTTGACGCAACAAAATGTCGAATTAATATTTTTATGAAAATATTCAAATCGATTGAATGTGAAAAATTAATTTCTGCGCCTAAAACATATTTCACATTAATTTCAGCAACCTATACATGTTACATTATTCGTGCGAAAATGTTTCAGCAGCCAGCTCGGCGAGAAATGCGGCTTGAATTTTGTACGCGATTTTCGCGTTCCATAAATACTCGTTTGCCCCCATTGTAGTCAAGAATTTCCCGCTTCCTTTGAATCGATACTTCGCCTCTGTTTCGAGCTCCTTTGTGACTTACTTTTCCAGCACTCGGATCCGTCGCAGCGTGGCCGATCATGCATATGCAAATATTTGTCTTCGCACGTTCCATAAATGCGAAATCCGTAGAAACGACGTTTCCGATGTTGTCTGGAGAATCGGATGCAGTCCGCGTAAATATGTATGCACGCTTGTTTGCGGCCGGTATCCATCCTCTAACGCAATCCTTTCTCCCATTCGCGATCATAAACAATGGAGAAACCAGCCGACTGAATATATTCAGATATGTATAAATATTCATATATTCGAGCGTGCATTTCTTCGGATCTGGACAAATTGAGAGCTTTTAATCGGAACGGTTGATTTTAGGTCACGTTGAAAACTAGGCCTTTGTACGGACTACTTATTAGTGCAAGAACCTATCTGAATCTATCTGAATTTTTTAATATAAAAAATCAGAAGGTTTATTGGAAGAGAATATTTACGTTATCGATTTGTGAAAACTGTAATTGCGAAATTTTGCAAATATATTTCATTTCGTGAATATCAAATCTGTATCAATTTCATTCCACTTAGACGCGAGCACGTGTGTTTTTGCTTCGCGGAATTTTGAAGGGCGCTTTAAAATTATTTACTCGCACCGCTTCAAAGTGGAATGCTACCGATAGCTTTTAAAACACTCACAAAGAGGGTTATTTATGGCTTAGGTCTGGGTTACCGGTAGCCCTCGATGTTTTTCCACACTTCCAGAATTAAGGAATTCGTTGACACGTTCGTTTCATGTTGACAAATATTTTTTTTTCGCTCGA